GTGTCCCAGAGGTTTTTTTGTGTTGTATTGTCCTTTTCGTTTAATTTGAGGAATACTTTTATTTCTTTCTTAATTTCTCCTTTGACCCATTCATCATTCAGGAATGTGTTGTTTAAGCTCCACAAGATTGTACAGTTACAAGGGCTTCTTCCAGTGTTGATTTTAAGCTTTATTGTATTGTAGTTTGATAGAATGCATGGGTTTCATTTTTTTTTTTTTTTGTATTTGTTGAGGTTTGCTTTACACCCCAGTATGTGGTTGATTTTGGAAAAAGTTCCATGGGGCACTGAATATAAAAAAATATTCTTTGGGTGCTTGGGTGGAATATTCAGTAGATGTCTGTTAGGTCCATTGATGTAAGGTATTGTTTAATTCAGAAATCTTTGTTTATTCTTTGTCTGGTTGACCTGTTTAATGGAGACAGTAAGGTATTGAAGTCCCCTACTATTAGCGAGTTGGGATTAATCTGTGTCTTAAGGGCTTGTAGTACTGTTTTTATGAAGTTGGGTGAACCAGAGTTTGGTGCATATATGTTCATGATTTTAATATCTTCTTGGCTAATTGTTCCTTTGACCCAAATGAAGTGACTCTCTTTGTCTCTTCTGTTAGTTTCAGCTTGAAGTCTATATTATCAGATATTAGAATTACAACTCTTGCTTGTTTCTTAGTATCGTTTTTTTGGAATTTTTTTTTTCAATCCTTTCACCTTAAAGTAGTACCCTGAGGGTGAGATGGGTTTTTGCAGACAATAAAAAGAGGAATTTTATTTCTTAATCCATTCAACTAGCCTGTGTCTTTTGACCGGGGAGATCAGTCCATTGATATTTAAAGTTACTATTGAAAGATATGTATTGGTTCCCATTTTTTAAATTTCTATTTGCATTCTTGATCTAACTTTGTGTTTCCACAGTTTCTTTCTGTTGTCCCTTGGGTGTAGTTGTTCCTTTCTTCAGCTCTTTGTATTGCATCAAGAATTCTCTGCAAGGCTGGTTTTCTGGACATAAATTCTTTCAGCCTATTCATATTGTGGAAGATTTTTCTTTCCCCAAGTATTCTGGGTTGGCATCTGTGGTCATTTAGAACTGCAAATACTTTGGTTAAGGCTCTTCTGACTTTCACACTTTGCATTGAAAAGTCAGCTGTAATTCTGATGGGATTTCCTTTACATGTGACTTGTTTTTCTTTTTCAGTATTCTGTCTTTGTTCTGTATATTTAGTATTTTTACTATGATATGCCATGGGGAGTTTCTTTTCTGGTCCTATTTGGTGTTCAATGTGTTCCTTGTATTTGTATGGGCATGTCTTTAATTTGGGGAAATTTTCTTCTATAAGCCTGTTGAAGATCTGATCAATGCCATTATCCTAAGATCCTTCTCCTTCCTCTATGCCTATGATGCATAAATTTAGTCTTCATGGTGTTCCACATTTCCTGCATATTTCATTCCTGTGTTTTAAAAAGTTTTTTCATAATCTGTACTTCAGCAGTCCAATTCTTCAACTTTATCATTTAGTTATGATATTCTGTTTTCCATTTCATTCATTTTATTGGTGAGGCTTTCTCATCATTTCTGATTGGCTTATTGAGTGCTTCACTTCCTTCTTCATCTCAGCCTGAGTTTTCTTCAATATTTCTATCTCTTTTGTGAGTTCAGTCAGAAGTTCATCTCTATCTTATTTTAGTTCTTTGATTTGTTTTCGTGTTCTTTAAGTTCCTCAAATTCTTTGATAATGTTTATGATTGTTCTCTTAAATTCTATGTCCTGAGTTATCTCGTTGTAAAACTCTTCTATAGGACTATTGGTGTTTGATGGGGACATATTATTTGTGTTTTTCATATTTTTTCATTGTGATTTTGGCATGTAGATTTCTTTTGTTGTTTGTGAGTCTATTGTGAGATTCAAGTCTTCCCTTTTTAAGTTGAAGTTTGTTTCTGTTCATATACTTGATGTGCCTTGGTTGTTTTCTTATTGAGTATGGAAAGCTTGTTGGTCTAGGCTTCAGTTTTTCCCTTTTGGTTTTATATTGAAGGGACCAGATGGCTCTACTCTAGCTACTCAGGCATTCCTGCAGAGACCTAAGTCAGGTGAGAATCAGATGCTCTCAGGCTTCCTCCTAAGGTCTGGGCTCCTCTAGTCAGCAGACACAGCACAATTTGGGAAGCATCTTAGGAAGAGGCTGGATTCAGGCGATCTCAGGCAGTCTGCCAGGGTCTGAGCCCCTACTAAAGGGCAGGGAAGCCTAGCCCTGCAGCAGTGGGAGGGTCTACAGATGGTCCCAATGTAGGGGGATGGACACAGCTTGATTTGGAGAGCTCACCAACACATGGAGCTAAGAGGGGATTCCAGAGATCCAGGCTGCTGAGAGCAAAAGCAGGCCTGTGCCCAAGGTTAGAAGGAGAACAGGATGGGGGGGGGTCTGGGAGATTGGGGTTGCTCAGGCTATAGGGAAGTCAAGGCCCAGTGAATGGAATCAGACTCACCAGGAAAGAAGGCTGATCTAGGGAACTCAAGGTAAGTTGGGCGTGGGGACAGCCAGGATAGAAGGCTGGTCCTCAGGGGTGCAAAGGCAAGCTGGGGGTGATGATGGCGCTAAGAAACAGGACTGAAAAATTGAGCTGGTCAGAATGCAGGGGATCAGGATGCAATGGGCAACTCCGGACTAAGAGGGTAGACCAGAGATCTAGGGTGCTGAGAGCAAAAGTGGGCCCATGCCCCAGGCTAGAAGGAGAACAGAATGTAGGGTTGGGGAGATTGGAGTTGAACAAGGTATAGGGAAGTCCTCTCTCCTCTTTCTCATCTCCCATTTCTCCTCTGTCCTGTTTCCCCCCCCCCCGTCCTTTCTCTCCCCTCTCCTCCCCTCCCCTCCCCTCCCGCCCCCTTCCTTCTCTCCTCTTTCTCATCTCCCATTTTTCCTCTGTCCTGTTTTTTCCCCATCCTTTCTCTCCCCTCCCCTCCCCTCCTCTCTCCTCCCCTCCCCTCCTGCCCCCTTCCTTCTCTCCTCTTTCTCCTGTCTTTCCCTCTTCTCTTATTCCCTTCTTTTCCTCCTCCCTTTCCCCTCCCTCCCCACTCTGTTTTTGAGACAAGGTCTATATGGCCCACAGACCTTGAACTTGTGATCACCCTGCCTTGGCCTCCCAAATGCTGGGATTACAGGCTGGCCATCAGGTCTGAGCACCATTCTTCTAGCTCGTGTTCTTAGCAGCATATTGGTTTACACGAACTCTGAGCATGTTTCTCAAGTGCCAATTGGTGTAATCAGGTCAAGGTGGCTGAAAATAGCTGCCTGAAGCAAATGAGTTGACAAGGAATTAAAAGCTGAGTCTAGACTTAAAAATAAACATGCATATACAGGAGGAAGCAGGCCTAGGATTTGGAGGAGAAAATTAGCACCCCTGGGAGAAACCTAGGTCTTAATGGCTAGGTCGGCTGTAGGGGTCTTTACTAATAGGTGTAGTCTTTCTTTGTTACTACATGTACCATTGTTCACGGAATCTTTTTGTTCTACTAAAAAGTGCTAAGTTCAATAAATCCTTTAAGGAGGTATCTAAGATTGTTATCAGAGACAGGTAGATCCATGAAAAGAATTAATGCTAAGATGATAGGACCAAGCAAGAAAGTGCACAGATAAACACTATGGCTAGAACCTCTGCCAAACAAGGCCAATCTCTGCACATATACCACACATACATACCACACATACATTCTCACACCCACAGCACACACACACACACACACACACACACACACATGCACACCATACACATACCATACATACACCCTTACCTCCATACCACATATACACACACACACAGCACACATATAACCTTATCCTCATGACACACATATGCACGTGCACACACACACACACACACACCATACAAATACCACACATACACCATTACCTCCATACCACACAAACACACAGATACCACATACAGCCTCACCCCCACACCACATACACACATACCACCTCACACATATCACATACACACACTCATCCCCACACCCCACACATACACATATACCATACATGCACTCGATGTCTATCCTCACCCCCATATCACACACACACACACACACACACACACACACCATACACATACCACACATATACCCTTTCCTCTGTACCACACACATACCTACCATACAGACACTACACATACATCCTCACCACAAGAACACACATAACCATACATACACAACCATACACACACACAACCATACATACACAACCATATACAAACACCACACACATATACCCTTACATACCACATACACACTCATACCACATACAGCCTCAGCCCCACACCACATACACATACCACTCCACACATACCACACACACACCCCACACCACACACACACACACACACACACACACACACACACACACACGCCTAATAAAAATGAATTTAAGGAAATCTGATCACTGTGCAATGATCTATTCAGTCTTTAGACAATGCTAAAGCCTTTCTGAGAAGTTAGCTTGGAATTCTCAGATTGTGTGCTTCTAAAGTCACCTGTGCTTTGTTTTGTGGGCACAGGCCTTAGTCCACATCACCAAAAAGAAATAAGACAAGGTTTCTGACTACAGACCCTGAATTACTGACGCAGCATGCTCAACACAGTGCTGTTAGAGATCTGAGACTCATTTTTTGCTTTGCAGATTGGATCCAGCACGTCTTCCTCACCACCACCTACTCACAGAGCAGTACTAGGATGGGGGACATGCAGACGCCTCCACATAAACGTGACTCTCATTCCCAAGCTAAATGCAAATGCTTCAGCTCTATCCCTGGCTGTGTTTTCTTTATACCTTTCCTCTCATGTATTAAAGGGGCTAAAGGGCTGTGTTGGTACTAAGCACATTTATTCCCACATTTATTTTTCTACAAAGCTTTAATTCCATTACTTGTTGTATGATCAAGGGCCTGGTGTGCCTATGGCAGCAACCTCAGAATTCAAGTCCAAAAAATGGTTGGCTAAGAAGACCATGAATACCTTGATTTGAAAGCCACTCTCCAGTCTTGATTTGTTGATGAAATTATACTCTGGTATTCCCCAACCAATGCCACCAACATACTCGTGTTTATACTTTGCTAGCATGCTTCTATTTGAGGCAGGCCTCCATAGATATCTGAGGTCTCCAGTTTTCTCTAATGCTGGACACTTTTCTCCTATATAGGCGATATGCTGGTGAACTTTTGGCAAGTGGTCCTTTATGTAGTCTGGACCTAAAAGAGACAGAAAGGAAAACACATTTTAAAAGCTTCTCCACATTCTCCTTTTTCTCCTTCCTTACCCTCCCTCCTGCCCTCCCTCTCTCCCTTCCTTCCTCCCTTCCTCCTTTCCTCCTTCCTTCCTTCCTTTCTTTATCTCTTCTCTTTCTTTTTTAAGTCTTAGGTATCTCAGGCTAGCCTCAGACTTAATATATAACCGAGGATGACCTTGAACTTCTAATCCTCTTGCTTCTACTTCCAGAATACTGGGATTACCAGCATAAATGCCCAATTTATGAGGTGCTGGGGATCCAACTCAGGACCCTGTGTTTGACAACCCTTATATGTTCCTCTAAAATGTCTTTATTTTAATGGTGGAGCCAATAATATGGCTCTTCCTAGATTCCTAGTTAATCTAACGAATCCTTATTAACAACTATAGAAGAACCCCCCCCCCATTTAAGATGGGGAAAGGGAGTTGCATAAAGACTGGTTACTTGTCTAGAGTCAAAGTAAAGAAGCTCTTCACATTGGGCAGGCTGCCTTCAAAGTTGGGCTCTCAATGGCCCCACTAAACTGCTTTGTAATCAGCTTAAGATAGGCGAGTTTTAAAAGCTCAAAACCATATCTGAAAGGGCAGACCGTCACACACTGGAGTGCTCTGTCTTGATAGATAACTTCTGGAATGAGAATGAAAATCCCCAAATATATTAGAAGCAATCAGAAAATTACTAGATAGGACAGTTATAACGGATGAAGACTCAAGGCAGGAGTAGTTAGTATTAGTATTCTACATGTAAAGCAATCAATGAAACAAAAGCAAAAGACACAGTAAAAATACGAGGTCTGGACAAAGGTCACTTAAATTTGCAACTTATAAGTTGATAGTGTGAAACCAGGTATGGTGACACATGCCTTTGACCCCAGCACTCAGGAGGCAGATGGATCTCTGAGTTCGAGCCAGCCTCTTCTACATAGAGAGTTCCAGGCCAGCTGGGGCTACAAGGGCACCTGTCTCAAAAAAGCAGAACAAAACAACAGAACAAAGACAAAAATGACAGATAATGGGCTTACTTGTCCGCGAAGAATCTTGAAAGTTCCAGAGCCAAAAATGAGTGGATTGTGTGGCTGCACTGTGAACACAAAGAATTGAATTTCGTTCCTGTTTTCCCTCCATAAGCTGATGAAAGGCACTGGGTGAAAGCTGTGGCTCTGCTCATTCTCTTCATTTGTTCTTAAATGAGGGTGCTTGGTATTTGCGGGGAGTATTCGGAGAGCAAGGCCTTGGGCCGGGTATGCCTTCTGATGTGGTTTCAGTGTCAAATGTCTCCCACTGGCTCATGTGTTTGAACACTTGGCTTCCAGCTGATGGCATTGGTTTAGGAAGGCTGTGGAACTTTCAGGAGTTGGGGCCTTGTTGGAAGAAGCTGGTCACTATGGCAGGGCCTTGAGGTTTTGTAGTTTGGCCCCACTTCCTGTCTGCTGTCTGCTTCTGGACTGCTGACCACAGTGTAACCAGCTTGTGCAGCCATGCGTTCCATGCCATGAGAGGCTGCATCCCTTCTTAAACTGAGAGCCAAAGAAAACCCTTCCTCCTTTAAGAGGTTCCTGCCAGAGATTCAGTCACAGTGATGAGAAAAGTAATACTCGAATGGAAAAATCAAGGTTCGAATGAGTCTGTGGAGGAGTCGCTGTGCTTTTCGAGGTCTGAGAATTCCTTAGAACCGCAGTTTGAGCAGGTGTTTCCATAGCTTCCTCACCCCCATCACTCCCTATGAGGCCCTAGTGCTCACGGAGGAACTAATTTCCCCAGTGAATACACTGTGGCCTCAATCTTACTTGCTTTGGGTTTTCACTTAGAATGATTCTTGTAAAATACAGAACCACCAAAGCAAGAAACTGTTTTCTTCCTCCATCTGACAGATGCTGAGGTCTCATCTCCACAATTCGTCACTAGGAAAGGTTTGTCATCACTTCTAAAGCGGGGAAATACTGGAGTCCGGACAGACTTGCTGGAACTCAGGTCAGTCTTTCTCCAATGTTTCATTAAACGCTGCTCCTGTGAGTGCACTATGAAGGTGTATGGTGCTGGGTGGAGACATGGTCAGGTACACTTGGGAACACTGCCTGCAACATTTGCCTTGCAGAGAGTCAACCTACCTAAGCAGATTCAGTGCTCTGAGGAGCTTATGGCAAGTAAACCTGTTTGCAATTATGGAATCCAGAGGGTTTGGGGAGGTTGTTTTTGTTTTACACTAGAGATCACTTACGTGCATCCTATTAAGTCACGAGTCACGGAAAGATTTAGGCAAGTAATTACCCTACATGTAACTTTTCAGCTATGGCTAAGAATGTAGATCTAGGAATGCAGCTGAGTTAGCACTCAGCACTTGGCTAGCATGCACAGGACCCAGGGTTCTAGCCCCCCCACCATAAGGAAAACGTATGGTTGTAAGGGTTTTTTTGTTTTGCTTTTTGTTTCTGGTGCTTAGAATGAAACCCAGGGCCTCACACACTTTATCACTGAGCAATACCCAGGCAAGAATACTATGCTCTACTCAACCGATATAGGTAGAAATCCTGGCTTTGTCTGGAGCTGGCTGCGTGACCCAGGATAAGCTGTCCAACTTCCGCACCTCAGGCTCCACATCTTCAGTGTTGCCACCTCCCAGAGGACAGGGAGAATGAGTTCTACTTAAATAGTGTTCGGCTGAGAGAATCTGTGGGACTGACTGTTATCTAACTTTGTAATTAAAATGTTAATATGTTTTGAGATCATTTAACACTATCTCAGCTTGTTTATAATGTAAATAAGCTTACTAGGCCTTGAGCTTCTCTTATATAACCTGAACATATACTTAATCCCTCATGACCCTTCTTTGTCCTTGACACAGAATAATGTGTGTGTGTGTGTGTGTGTGTGTGTGTGTGTGTGTTTTGTGATACTATCAAGTGCTATAAACAGCAAAAATTCATTGAAAGCAACAGGTTATCCCATTTGTCTTGCAAACAACAGGGAGGCTTACATTGGTAATATCTGTGGTTGTTTGTGCTGTCCTGGGTTAGTAAGGGTCAGAAAAGGCAAAATCCTCTGAGAAGACAAGTTCCTCTTTTCCCATGTGATGTTGGATATACAGTTTCAACAGAGAGCGAGCAAGGCCTTTGTTTAAGAGGACAGTTCCAACAGAAATCTGAAGGAACAAGTTCTCAGAACAAATTGGGTTTCACTCTTGGTTTTAATGGATGCTAAGAATCAAGGTGTTTTTTCCCCAGGCATCCCTGTAATGTGGCACTCTCCATGCAAGAACCTGGTACACGGGCTGGAAAGATGGCTCAGCAGTGAAGAGCACTGACTGCTCTTGCAGAGGAACCGGGTTCGAGTCCCAGCACCCTCATGGTGGCTAACAACTGCCTGTAACTCCAGTTCTAGGGAGTTACACCCTCTTTGGACCTCCTTGGGCATTGCATGACACGGGTGCACTTCTATGGATTCAGGCAATACACTCATACACATAAAATAAAAATAATAAATAAAATATTTTTTTAAAAAGAACCTGGTACATACATATTGTGTCTAACTTATGAGCTTTTAAAAAATATTATTTTTTTATTTCATGTGTATGAGTGTATTGCATGCATGCATGTACCTACACCCATGTTCTGCAATGCTCTCAGAGGTCAGAAGGAGGCGTTGAATCCCCTAGAATTGGAGCTGCAGACAGTTGTTAACTGCCATGTGGGTGCTAGAAATCGAACCTAGGTCCTTTTGCCAGAGCAGTCAATGCTCTTAACCACTGAGCCATCTCTTCAGCCCTAACTTATCAGCTTTTAAACCTGAGGTATTGTCTTACCTGTTGCAGTCCTTTGTTTCTTTGTTCAGATCTTAGGAACTGATGGACTTATCAATGAATTTTTTTTTATTGTGAACAAATTTCAAATCCTTCAGAACTCTTTGAGTTAAGGGTCATCGAAGTTTTTTCTGTAAAGGGCCTATGGTTTTCTGGCTATAAAATCTGTTTCACCAACTCAATTCTGTCCTTGTAGGACAAAAGTAGCCATAGGCAAATGGGTAAACAATGTCTATTCATACATTTCAATAAAACTTTAGCTCAGTTAGTAGAGTGTGCTTGCCTAGCATGCATGAAGTCCTGGGTTCCACATTCAGCACTGCATAAACTGGGTGTCGTGATATACTCTCAAACAATCCCAGCACTTGGGAGAAGGCAGGAAGATCAGAAGTTCAAGGTCATCCTTGATTATTTAGGGAGTTGGAGACTAGCCTGGGCTAGAGACCTTGTCTCGAAACACTTCTCTCTCCTCTCCTTTTCTCTTCTCTTCTCTTCCCCTCCCTTTTCTCTCTCTCTCTCTCTCTCTCTCTCTCTCTCTCTCTCTCTCTCCCCCCCCGGCACTCTCTAGGCTTTGTGCTTGCACAGTAGATTCCAGGGGTGAGCAAGGCCACACAGTGCATAATTTACTAATCCACCCATGTCAAATGAATTGTGGGGGAAGGTGGTGGGCCAGCAATGCAAAGTACTATGAAAGTAAGAGCAACCTGGTAGCCTCTTGGTTCCTCCGCATCACATATTTTAATAAGCAGAGCCCTACTTTGCGATGGAGCCTTTAGCAGTGCACTTATAGGGAGACAGTGCTTCTCAAAGTTTTATCTATTCTATGAAATAGAATGAGAAGCATGACATGTTGACACTTTCCAATGTGACAGGAAAATCCTGACCAGGACTCCTAAGTCTAGTCAGAATCCACTCACCTAACCCAAATTCTGGGCAAGCTCAGCATCTCTTCAACCAGGGAATGGTTGGATGAGGAAGAAGAACAGGGGGAAAGGTTTATACTCTTGCTTTCTGTGATGGCTAATCCTGGATATCTAATTGACTGGATCTGGGATTAACTGAAATGAGAGAGATCTTCTTGATTGGATAATCTGAAGCTGGAAGACACACCCTAAATGTGGGTGTTACCTTCTGATGGCAGCCCGTATAAAAGGCCAAGGCAGAGGAGAACGCCAGGCTTCTTGCTGCTTGCCTTCTCTCCCTGGTGAGTTCATCTTGCTGCTGTAGACTGAAGCTAGCTGATCTTTTGGAATCTGTCAGACCTTCAGCGCCAGATTGGGACTACTGAGACATCCAGCCTCGTGGACTACAGATTCTCAGCCTCTGCAGTGTGGTGCAGCCATTGTTGGACTACTCGGACTCTATCCTCTGAGCTAAGCTGATAAATCTCTATACATATATATTCATTCTACCAGTTCGGTTTCTTTGGAGAACCCTGACTAATACACTTACTTTAAAAAGTTTTGTCTAAATGTCATTACAAACTGTTTTATAAAATAGCTAAAAGTAAATTGAGTAAAGGGCTTCATAGAGTGTTTCACAAGGCTTATGGTCATGTTTGAGTTTCTTCTCAGTGAACATTCATATTACAATAATTTGCCTTGCAGTCTACTGCATTATTTTGTAAACTATTTTAGAAAGCATATTTTTTATGTTTTTTATTCAACTGAATCTTAACTATATTTAAGACTTTTATTTGGGGAGAATAAACTTTTCATATAAAAAGCATACTCAGTGGTGATATATATTAAAAATAAATTAATTTCATTCCCTCTAATTTCACCAACACCCCAGGGAAATAATCAACATGATTGTGGTCAAGCATTATCAGATTAAGATATTATAATAGGAATGTTGGCATGGGCTAGAGAGATGGTTCATCGGTTAAGAGCTCATAACCCTAACCCTAACCCTAACCCTAACCCTAACCCTAACCCTAACCTGTGTCAGGCGTCTCACAACCACCTGTAACTCCAGATCCAGTCTACAACGAGGAGGGTCAGCAACACAGAGGAAACATCTCCTCCATGCTTCCAAGCAAAGCTGGCCATGGTCAAGTAGGACCTTTGACTTATCTTCACATAAATGGAACTGAAAGGAGCCAGGGGCTCCTCCCAAGTCCATGTGATCCCTGAGGAACAGCCTCAATCGACCTTAAAAGTAAAAATAGTTTTTTGGGGGGGGCAACTGTATGGTCTTAAACACCCAAAAGGAAAAGTATAACCAAAGCTTAAAGTGATCAGAATATTTATTTAATTGTCCATGTATATAGCTAAAAGCTATATAACAAGAAACAGACAGGAGATACCTTCCTTTGAGTGGTTGGCCAGGGTGGCCCAAAAGACTCCCAGACAGTAACCCAGCATAGAATTGGGAAAATGAACAGTAGACCCCAGTGTTTTCTAAAGGAATGTTGGAAACTGATTACTGCTAGATGAGGAAGAGCTGGACTTCCTAAAATAAGGGACTTTAGATAGGCTGACTAGACTCAGCAGATGGACTAGCACTGGGGGGGCTGGGGGCACTGACAACACAGTGGACAGTAGCAGGGATGACAGTATATGGGCTCCAGGGGTTCGCGGGGGAAGCTTTGGGAGGGTGCCATTTGGGACATGAGTGTAAAGATGAATAAGCTTGTTTGGGATGTTCTATATGGAATACACACACAAATCAATAAAAAGAGTTATGTTTGAAAAAAATAATATTTAGTACTAGATTTTAAAAATTTATTGGCTGGCATTTCAATCATTTTGATATCTTTGAACTCATTATTAAAGAGCAATTTGACTTCTGTGCAGCAAATGAAGGCAATAGTTGCTTACTGGCTTGAATTTTTTTCTAGAGGGACATCAGTGGTGGAGAAAACCACCTTTCACTTTTACTCAAGGAGACAGATAGATCACACTTGTGTTCTTTCCATGATCAAGGTTCAGGTTGACTTTTTTGGTATCTGGGGACTTCATATCTTTTTCCCTGGCCAGGGGAAATCAGTAATGAGACGTCTTACTGGAGTCACGTTTTGCCAAGGGCCCCCATCTCCCCCACCATCTTGGCTCTTCAGCAATTTTCTTTCCTACTTGCAAAGTCCTTTCTCCACGGAGCCCAGAATCTTCCTTGGGGTTAATCTGGGTGATAAAAGCAGGCATCATCTGTGCGCAGCTCTGTGGCTGCCTGCAAGCCCATCCTTCGTCAAGAGAGGTGCTTGGGGGGGCACCGTGTGGTGGGGTACTTGCAATCCCCTCCTGAATGGGCCTCACATCCCAAGAGAGATAGTGGGATGGCCAGCGCCTGTGCACTGCCGGCCTATGAATTTTCTTTACTGGGAAAATTTTTTTAATCGTTTTTCTTTTATTTTTCTTTAGTTCTTTTTTTAAATTGCTTGTCCTTTCCTCTTCCCTGTTGTAACATTCTTCTGTATTCCTTTTTTCTTTCTCTCTTTTTTTGTGCGGTATGAATTGTGTCTATGTGTATGTGGTACCTATGTGTGCAGGGGTGTGCAGGCCTAATACATGTGGAAACCAGAAGGGGACACGGCTGTCTTCCTCTGTTGCTCTGCACCTCATCGCCTTGAGACAAGTCTTTCACGGAACTGGGAACTGGAATCTTGCCATTTTAGCTAGGCTTGCTGGCGGGTGAGCACCCAGGATCTGCCTATTTCTGCCCACCAGTGCTGGTGGTACAGGCAGGCACAGCCATGCACAGCTTTTTATGTGCTGGGAATTCAAACACAGTTCCTCCTACTTGCACAGTGAACACTCTTACCCCCTGAGCCATTTCTCCAGCACGTTCTTCCTTCCTTCCTTCCTTCCTTCCTTCCTTCCTTCCTTCCTTCCTTCCTTCTTTCTTTCTTTCTTTCTTTCTTTCTTTCTTTCTTTCATTTGTTATTTTTAATCTTTTTGAGACAGGGTCTCCCTGTAGCCCCAGCTGTTCTGGAACTCACTATGTAGACCAGGCTGGCCTTGAACTCACAGAGATCCGCCTGCCTCTGCCTTATTTTTACACATATGAATGTATTGTCTCCTTGTATGTAAGTGCATCAATATCGTGCAATGCCCAAGGTCAGAAGAGGGCTTTGGATTCCCTGGAACTGGAGTTATATAGATGGTTCTTAGCTGCCACGGGGGTACTGGGAACCAAACCTGGGCCCTCTGGGCAAAGAGCCAGTGTTCTTAACCACTGAGCCATCTCTCCAGCCCTCCTTTTTCTTTTTTTAACCTTGCTTATTCTGTATTTTCCTCTTCTTCCCTTCTTTTATCTCATTTCTTTTTTTCTTAAAAATTATTGAGTGAAGTAGAGTTGGTTTTCTCCTTCCACCTGGTTTTGAGGCAGGGTCTCTCTTGTCTTCATCACTGTACTGTGTACTCCGCACTGCGTATTCCAGGTGAGCTAGCCCACAAGCTTTCGCCTGATTCTCCTGTCCTTACCTCCCATCTCCATTCGAGTGCTGTGAATACAGATGTAGGCCACTGCATCTAGCTTTTTATGTGGGTTTGGCTGATTGAACTCAGGTTGTCAGACTTGTTCAACAACTGTTTTTACTCACTGAGCCATCTGTCCAACCCTCGTTTATTTTGTCTCCACATTACCTGAATGCTTTTTAACTTCACAGTTCTATATTAGTTCTGCAGTTCCTCATATTATGATGATTGATGACTTATACATGGGCTTTACTTGATTCTAAGTATCTATTTCTATACTTTGTTCACTTTGGTGTTGGTCCTGTTACAATGGTCTGTTTCTTCTCTCTGAGTGGGACTGATGACTGAGCCTTCAAGAGAAAGCTGCTCAAAGGGCAGAAAACATGACAGTGAGGATACAGCCCCACGGAGAAACCATGGACCCCAGGTCCTGACTTTGGTCCTCTCACTCAGCGTCCCACAGATGCTGTTGCTGCTGCTCCTGACCCTGTCCTGCATGGAAACCTCCATTTCTTGTGACCCCTGGGAGGATCTAGAACTTGTGTCTTTAGATACATAGTTTACTGCGGCCCTATGAAGCTGACATGCTGACAATGATAGCATAGATCATCTATCTCTACAAGTAAAATGAGAACCTGTGTGCTAAGGGGAGTGTCCTAGTTTGCTCTTCATTGCTGTGACAAAATACTCTGACCAATACCAACTTGGGAGGAAAGGGTTTATTCAGCTTACATCTCCCAGGTCGCAGTTCATCAGGGAGCCCAAGGTAGGAACTCAGGGAAGGAACCTGTAAGCAGGAGCTGGAGCACAGGTCATGGAGGAACGCTGCTTACAGGCTTGCTCCCTTGGCTCCTGCTCAGCCTGCTTTCTTAGGCAACACAGGCCCACCTGCCCAGGGGTGTCACCACCCACAGTGGGCTGGGCCCTCCCACATCACTCATCAAGAAGATGCCCCTCAGACATGGCCACAGGCCAGTCCAATAGAGGAAATTCCCCAACTGAAGCTTCCTCAACCCAGGTGTGTCAAGTTGACACTAAAGCTATCCAGCACAGGGAGTGTGGACATCACCTCACTGAGACTGGAGCTCCTTCTGGTGCAGTCTGAGCACATTCATCTCATCATCACCTCTGCCCCAACCTGCTTCCTAGGGGATAATATGCTGGGTCACTGGCTAGCAGTGACATCAAAATCAGAGGGATACTGCTTTGGCCCTTCTGCATGCAGCAGACCAAAGTGAATGATGCCAGGAGTTATAAGAACTGCAGTCATCTGGGGGAATGTCTGGTCACTGTACCCTCCATAAGTATACACCTGCATGATAAGGTGTATGTCCTGGGTTGCCCACTATGACCTGAATTCCCTGGTCCCTAGGTGAAGCCTACATGATGGAGGAGACACCAGTCTTTCTTGTCGATGTCCTGTTACAGGATTCCAGCCCCACCACTGAACACTCAGTGTCTCCACTCCTGACCCTTGCTCTGTCTTAGAGGAGAGCTAGGGAAGAACAAGGAGGCAGGTATCTCTCACAATGTCCTGGTTTCCTACTTTCTGCTTACCCTCATGGGACCCATGGGACCCATTAAATCAAGGGGGTGGAAGGGGGGAGAGAGAGAGAGAAAGAGAGAGAGAGAGAGAGAGAGAGAGAGAGAGAGAGAGAGGAGAGAGAAGAGAGATCTTTAATAAGATCCCCAAACAAAAGCAGGAGATATTCAAACCAAGTGCATAAACCACAACACAGAAACATGGAAAAGCAAGGCAATATGGCTCCTCTGGAAGACTACAACCACCAACTATGAAACCAGAAAATACTGATGTGGGTAAAACTCCAGATGGAGATTTCAAAAGATGACTAATAAAACTGATCAATGACCGGAAAGAAGATACAAACAAGCAGAAGGAAGGAAGGAGGGAGGGAGGGAGGGAGGGAGGGAGGGAAATCAATCCAGGACTTACAGCAGAAAGCCAGCAATGTGGAGGAGAAAGTCAACAAAATACATGATGAAATCGGCAATGTGGATGAAAATGTCAACAGCATGGGAGAGAAATTCAGTAAGAAAATTGAGATTTTTCAAAAAATTTGGAAAAAAAACCCTGATGAATGAGTTGGATGCAGTAGCATACTCCTTTAATTCCAGAACTCAGGAGGCAGAGGCAGGTAGAGCTCTGTGAGCCTGAGCCCAGCCTGTTCTACATAGTAAGTTCCAGGCCACCTAAGGCTACAGGGAGATCCTGTCTCAGACAATAAGAAAAACTCCCAGTGAATGAAATAAAGAACAGTGAAAAGTATTAGCTATAGACTCAACCAAGCAGAAGATAGAATACCAAATATGGAGGACAATATTGAGGAACTCCTACGTCAGTACAGCAGGAGGAACCTAGGACAAAACAAAAATAATAAAAACAAGCATACTCACAACATCTGAGAACTCTGACATATGATCAAGAGACCAAGCCTAAGAATTCACAGGTTAGAAGGAGCTGATTTAAAACTTAAAGATACAGAAAATCTGTTCAGTGAAATTTAGTAAAAAATTTCCCAAAACCTAGAGAAAGAACTGGACCTTCAAATACAAGAAGCATTTAGAATCCTTAATAAACACAACCAGAGAAGAACCTACCCACAGCATGTTATAGTCAAAATGTCAAAAATACAAAGCTAAGGGCTGGGGAGACTCAGAGGTTAACAGTACTGACTGCTCTTGCAGAGGACCCAGGTTCAATTCCCAGCACCCACATGGTGGCTAACAGCTATTTCTAACTCCAGTTTTAGGGGATCCAATGCCCTCTTCTGACCTCTGTGAGCATTGTGTGACACAGGTACACTTGCAAACATGCAGGGAATACACTCATACACATAAAAAAGAAAATAAAAATTAAAGTATTTTAAAAACACAAAGCTAAGAATGCTGAAAACTCTAAGGGAAAAGGGCCAACTTACCTATTAAGCAACATAACAGAGTGATATCTGATCTCCTATCAGCAACCTATTAGCCAGGAAAGCACGGAACAGTATATTTCAAGCACTGAAAGCAAATGATAGCACAACAATGCCTTTTCAAGATAAGCACAAACTAAGGCAGATCATGATCACCAAGCCAGAACTACAGAAGATATTTAAGGAATACCATACTTGTAGGAGGAAGAAAGACCATCTAATAGTGAGAGCACAGGAAAGAAAAGATTTCTTGAGGAATAAATGAACAAAGGAGAGCCAGGAAGGAATCCATCATGTCCAACAGAGGGAACGAACAAACCCATTATACTAATAAAGAAATAAAGAAATGAATCAATAGTAATCCAAACAGAAGAACAACTAACAAAATTAGCAAATATCTCTGAATAGCAGCCTTAAATGTAAATGATCTCAGTTCACCAGTAAAAATATGCTCACTGGCTGGGCGTAGTGTTGTGCACCTTTAAGTCCAACCCTTGGGAGGCAGAGGCAGGTGGATCTCTGTGAGACTGAGGCCAGTGTAGTCCACATAGTGACTTACAGGCTAGCTGTGACTAGGGAGACCCTGGAGAGAGAGAGAGAGAGAGAGAGAGGCAGGAAGGCAGGAAGGAAGGATACAGACTAGCTGACTAGATTATAAAAGAACAATAAAGACAAGATCCAGCTGTTGGTGGTAGCTCATACCTATAATCCCAGATTTTGGGAAGGTGAGGTAGAAGACTCACATAAATTTGATGTCAGCCTTGGCTATAATGAATTCCAGGCCAGTCTGGGTTACAGAGTGAGATTGTGTTTTAAAAGCAAAACAAAAAACCTCAAGAACCGGCTATCTGTTGTCATCAAGACACACACCCCACTAGCAAACACACCTACAGACTGAGAGTCAAAAGGTGCAGCCAATAGAAGCCAAAAACAAGCTGTTCTAGTTATTTTGACATCTGATGAAATGGATCTCAAACTAAAATTAGGCAGATGAGACAAAGAAGGACACTACACGTCAATAAAGGGGATAATTCTTTAAAAAGATATAACAAGCTGGCAGTGTGGATTGCACGTGTAATCCCAGCACTTAAGAGACTGAGGCAGGAGTGTTGCTGTGTGTTATGCAAAGAGAAGATACCCTGTGTCAAAATTTGAAAAAGGAGAAGGAAGAAGAGCAAACATAACAATTGTAAATATATATACATATATATGCACCAAAGTTGGGCTCCAATTTCACAAGACAAACACTAATGGACATGAAAGGTCAGGTTCTAACACAGTATCAGTGACTTCAGTAGCTCAGCCTTGAGGACTGGCTGCTCTTGCAGAAAACCTGGATTCAGTTCCCAGCATCCAAACAACCATCAATAACTCCAGTTCCAGGGAATCTGACACCCTCTTCTGGACTTTGTTGGCATTGCATGCATGTGTGCACTTACATACATGAAGGTAAAACACTCATACATAAATAAAAATAAATAAAAGTCTCCTCTTTAGCTGGGTCAGCCAAACAAAAATCATCAAAAACTTCAGTTAAACCATACCATTTATCAAACAGACTTAACAGACGGATGAATAGTCCATCCAACAGCATGAAATACACATCTCATCTGCCCTGGAAAGTTCTCTAAAATGGGCCACAATCTAGGCCACAAAACAAGTCTTAGAAAAGAGGAGGGAAAAAGACCTCTGGGTGGGGTGGCACATGGTTTTAATCCCAGCATTCAGGAGGCAGAGGCAGAGGCAGGCAAATCTCTGAATTTGAGAGCAGGCTGGTTTACATAGCAAGTTCCAAGTCAGTCAGGGTTACATAGTGAGACACTATCTCAAAAACAAAAACAACAAACAAAAAACACCACCAAAGGGCTAGGGGAGATGGCTCAGCAGGTATAATAATTGCTGCACAAGCATTAGGAAGACCCAGGTTTGCCTCCAAAATCTGCATAAAAAGACAGAAATAGATAGATCTCTGGGTCCCACTGACCAGTAAGCCTGGCCTACTTGGAAAGCCAGTCAGAATGATATTTTAAAAATCTAATAGCAAATGTTGGTGTAAATATGGAGAAAAGGATTCCTTGTTCAT